ATATGTTCTCATAGTCATCCAGTAAATAATGCTGTTTTTATGGAAGTCGAAGAGAAATATTATTATTATGGAATCGCGTATTCATACTTTTGAAAAGAATTATTTCGAACCCCATTAGTCCAAGAATGATGAAATTTGAATATTCAACAATACAGTTGTGAAATTATTCTTGTTAGTCCGTTTGGTGTAATACAACTAAGCAGCTTTCTGGATATTGAAAATGCTAAATCTGGCTTTGGCTTATACTCCAACCGGTAGGCATTTCGAGGTGGATATCGAATGTTACGTTCATGAAAACTTGAGCTTAGGGATAAATGAAAAACTGTTAATTATGGTAAAGATTCTCCACTTAGAAGTGTCAATGAAAAGGCCGTGCACAGTTTTTCTGAAAAAATATCTATGCGTCCATCTCAAACATAAATACGATGGTAAATACGGTTTATGCATTATGAAATAATTTTAAGGTTCGAGTGACATTTTCTCCAATATTAAACTAGTTTACTCTAACAGATAATTATGTCATGAGTCGGTTGACAAATACATTCAGACTACTGCATCATGAATTTCATTCATATATAAGTTTTTGTATTCCCAAACCAAGGAAAAACAATACTGTTTTCATGTATGTTCAAACCAAGTTTACTTTTAACAGTTTGAAAAAATTTGGGCATTGGGTGTATGATATTCATTATAATAAAGGATTTTGTATTTCCCAATGAATAAAAAACAAGGGACGATATTGTTTTTACTGATGTTTCGCTATTTAATGATAATGGCTTCATCAAAGTATTATTAAACCAGAATTTACAAAATCTCAGCTAATATATAAAACAACTTAATCATCATTCCTCAGCAATGGGGTCATTTTCTTCGTTGTAAAACTTATTCATTTTATTTTTAATTTTATTTCGATTTACAGCTTGATTCCACACCGTATTTTCAGTACAAGTGTGGAATTTTCAGCATGGATATCGGTAGCCCAAATTCAGGCCGACCATAGATATCGGGTGTGCGCCGGCAGGGGATCGAACCCCGGACCATGTGCATGGTCGGCGAGAGTCCTAACTACTGAGCCACCGACGCACAGTTGGCCAGTTGGTAAAGATAACAAAACCAGGTGTAGACTGTTGAATTTGATAAGTGTGTAAAATTATAAAAGTAGCCTGTGTTCACATAATGGAATTGCTTATCACATTCGTATTGATTTTGTCACTGTCTCGTTCTAGCACTACAAAAGTATCATCTACATATCTTAATCATATTTTAGGAGTTAGTATGCTTGAAAAGATGTTATTTTCGAATATGTTCATGAAAATGTCAGTGACTATTGGGGAAACTGGTGAACCCATAGCAACATCATTTGGCTGTCTATATATATAAATTCCCTTTCAATGTAAAATAATTACTTTCTAGACAGAATTTCAAACTCTTAATTATTTCACTGGTGTCCAGTGAAAATCTTTGTGATAGTGTTGTATCTGATTCTAGTAGACTGGAAATGATATCAAGACTTTCGGTAATAGGGATACTAGTATATAGTGAGTTAATATCATAGCTTCTATATCAATTTCTGGGTGTGCTATCTGGGATTTGAGATCATATGAATCTTTTACAATATTTTGAATGTCACTTTGCACTGGTTGTAGTATCGAAAATAAGTATTTTGAGAGGTTGTATGTCGGTGAGTTAGTGAAATCTACTACTGGTCTTAATGGAACTGTAGGTTTATGTATCCTTGGTTGCCCGTAGCATCTTGAAGGTACATAAGATTTTGGTTTTAGTTTAAACTAGAGAGAATTTCCAATTTTGGGTTTCATTTATTGAAGGAGTCTGTTGCTATTAAGTTTCATTTTGTTGAATTCGACACATTTCTTCATTTCTTAAATGAGTATGAAATAACCTCGTAGTCTTTATTACCACAGTTTCCTTGTCGAATTCCCGACTGCAATGTTCTTTATTGTCAACATTTTGTCAGGGGAAGATTTTATGCTACCTTTTCACATTCCATGTTTTATCAGCTCCTGCACGTCATCCAACTATGTGGTGGTTTTGTATCCCTCCACAGACATCCTAACTCCTCCCTCATCAAAGATCTGCAACACCGTACTTTCATCTCTCACAGAAGCAGTGACAGTAATTGTAGCGATAGGGCACAGTGGTGTGTGGTTGAAGATTTATTCATTTGACGAAATGGTACACAGTGACACCAGAATACAAAGACCATACATTGAAATTTCATTTCCTGAACTTTATTCGAACTATGTTTCGCTTATCCCACACGATATGCTACCGGTGAATTCTAGTCAGTAGAACATAAAGTAGCCTTTCGAATAATGATCACACAACACCCAAGGTTGAAAACGATTCAAGCTATTAAGTGTGAACTTGTTTGGTTCATGAACACTGTCAGACATTCAACGTTGAAATTGTTTCATCAATGGGTTGTATTCAAAGTTAATGTTAAACAACGATAAGACACACTACTTCATGAATACCCTGTTTTACAATATGCTTGAATAGAAATACTCCTAATTCATTTCTTATCTGTGCTTTGCTATTCTTTCTTTTGTGTTCGTCTTTATACTACTTATCATTAGTAGGTAGTAGAGACAAACTTTGATACTTCTTAAACAGGGCTATGTTCGCGATCCAAGTTTAACTTACTGAATGTATTTGGGCTCTATTTGATGTATAGTAATTAATTCCTTATGGTTGAACATTATCTGCTCTATACGCTTTATTTGTGTACTCATTACTGTTGAACACTGTTTATTCGCATCCCTTTATTCCGTGTCTGGCATTCACAAGCTGTTTGAATAACACGTGGATCGCCTTTGACACAGCTCTACTGTTACGCGTAAAATCCGAATACACAAGATTTGTCTAAAATGCGGTACTATATTAAAAATAAAATATGAAATCCAATATACAAACCTCAACTGTGAGTTGTCTGAGGTTGATTGACGTCGAAAGCACAGTCAAAGTGCGTCAATAAATAACAGCAGTAGAGCAGTGTCATGGGCGATCCACGTGTTATTTAAACAGCTTGTAAATGCCAGACACGGAATAAAGGGATGAGAATAAGCAGTGTTCAGCAGTAACGAGTACACAAATAAAGCGTGTAGAGCAGATAATGTTCAACTATAAGAAATTAATTACTATACATCAAATAGAGCCCAAATACATTCAGTGAGTTAAACTTCAATAGCAAACGAAGTCGCATTTAAGAAGTAAAACATTAGTTCAAACTACTAACTAATGGTGAGTAGTATGAAGTTGAAAACAAACAAAACAATAGCTGGGACAGTAAGAAAAGATAAGTGCACACACTGAATTGCATTAGCCTCAAACATTGTGAGATGTATCATGTAGGTATCATGAAGTGATTTACATGTTTCGATAGCGAGAGAAAGACGAGATTTGCAGTATCAAATCATATCGTTCAATTCCACTGGTTCTCATCAGCTGCAGACCACCTGAAATTACGATGGTTATATAGATGATAACAACATACTTTAATGTTTAAGTGTTAATAGAGAAGAAATACTATAAAACTGACACATTCAAAATGTGAGCATTACAATTTTTAGTTTAAGTTTCTATCATCAATTTATGCGCCTTCAAAGTTGAAAAGAGGGGGGAGTGGTAAGACAGAACAGTATTAGCTTGTAGGTTCACATAGCAACTCAAAAAAACAAAGGCGGTTACAGTTTATGAGACCGAGATTTGCTCAGTGAGTTGAGATCACCGAATTAGATAATTAATAAGTGTAATCAAAATCAAAATTCAATTACCAAGGCAGTCAGAAATCAATCGCACTCTCTTTCTGTATGCACAAGTCTGATTTGAATCGTTTGATTGCGATCACTTCGAAAGTCGTATTAAGTTGCTGTCCTTTGTCTATTTAATATTTTGAAGGATTTATAAATCTCTACGAGATGACCGATATCAATAATATGCCTGGTATTTCACTCTGAGAATATTTGATTCATTTCAGGCACAAGTTTCTTGGAATATGTTCAGAAAACAAGGTACAAACCCTTATCTCCGTCCTTCCAATGTTTGTGCTCCCGCAAGCGCACGTAAGTTCATAAACGCAGTTGGAGACGACATCAGCAGGGTATTTATCCAGATTTGATTGATTTACAGAAGAAGTAGTGCTGTATAATGTCATGAGATTAGGTGCAGGTAAACTTCTATTTACTGCACCTTTCAGTCTTTTGTCACCCTTTTGTGACACTGAATCTCCTTTGAATGGGATAAAAATAAACACCTTATCTTTTCTACAGTTGGGTGTGTTTCTTTCTTATCTTTTTCTCTGCTATACTTTTGTATAAATCCCTTAGGATATCCATTTTCTCTTAGGCATTTCTCAACGAAACCTAATTCTTCTTCGACCTTGTTCGGTGAACATAGCTTCCTGGCTCTGTCGTACAGTGTCCTTACTAATGCCCGCTTATAGCTTATAGCGCGGAAGCTGTTGTAGTGAAGCTATTGTCCAGTCTAGGTTTCTTTTCTGTAGATGGACTTTTCAACCGTTCCATCGTTTTTTGTTTTTACATTTAGGTCCAGGAAATTGAAATTGTCGTCGTGTTGATATTCCATGGTGAATTTAATGTTTGGGTGGATCTCAGTTACATTGCTCTTATTGACAAGGTTATGTTTCCTCATTCGCCGTCTACCGGATGAAAATGTTTACAGATTTGTAACTATGTGAACCGAAGGCAATGTTGTTGAAAACGGTTGTTCGTTTAATTATTTCTTATTTGAAGTATTCAAACAGGCATGTGAAATGACGTACACACATCTTAAATGTCTTATGCTAAGGGGACTCAGTTACACGTATATCGCATATATTTAGTTATTCATAAGCATGTTCATATTTTCTCACCATCATTCACAAACATCACTTAATAATATACTGATAACAAACAAAATCACAGTGATCTCCAATCAGAAATTTCGTTGTTACGAGCATGTTTATATAAGAGTGTGTACATTTAGACAGAAAAACATTGTCAATGTTTTCGCGTCTGCTTCTTATATTCACTGCAATGAACCTGATCATATTTCTCATCTGTCTGTATCATGTCAATTCTGAGATTATCAAGATTCCATTGCATCCAGCGACTGGAATCAGTTCAATGCTGAATCCATATCGGAGACTGGTCAGGTTGTTCCAACGAAGTTGGATGAATTTATTGAATGGTGGAGATACACCAACATCAGAACCGCTGTATAATTATGGCAATGTAAGTCGACTTTCGGTAATGAAGTAAATGCTTGTTGATTTGAGTGTTATCTGAATCTGCAGTACTAGATAAACAATGTAAGTCTAAGTATTGAAATATTTGTTGTTGAATGCAGAATCAGAGTACCTAAAATGCTTTCTTTGATACTGTGTGAGTAGGGAAATAAGTTGTTGTGATTTTTCTTCCTGACTAAATCATCAGTAAGTGTTAATTTGAGGAGAATGTTTACGTGTTATTGCCTCACATTGGTAGCGGTTCAATGAATTTTCATCACGACAACAAACTAGATATTAAGGTGACACGATAGTCTGCAGTACACCGTGGTTTAGATGTCACGTGTAAGTAAATAATACCACAACACCGTGACACAAAACGAAAGTATCTGATAATGGATCGATACTCTTGCACACTGCTTTACTTCTATTCTTTCTTCGATCAGATTTCATTATCTGGATTGTTAAATCTTCCAGATTGTATTGTCAATACTTCGATGACTTCCACTTTAATGTTATTCCACACATGGACACATCAATCAAATATTGGTAAAAGTCTTTTAAAACTACATATTACTGACATTAATGTAGACTAGTTCATCATGACATTGAAATCACAGGCGATTTTCCAAATCTCACATTCATTATTTCCTTTTCAGATTCAGTACTATGGAGAATTACTAGTGGGAACGCCACCACAAAAGTTTCGTGTACTCTTCGACACAGGATCAACCGAAACCTGGCTTCCCTCAAGAAAATGTTGGTTTCTCGACATTCCGTGTTGGTTCATTCGATTCTACGACAGTTCGAAATCATCCACCTACCAGTCGAATGGTACCGAATTTAATATAAGTTACCTCAGTGGTAGTTACTCTGGATATTGGAGTATGGATACAATGCAGGTATTGTGGTTTCACGACTTGAAGTGACTGGTTTTAGATAAACTCCTTAGTTATTCGCAATCAGCCGTTTGCTGAAGTGACAAATGTGTTTTCCGACGATTTCTTTGGTAGTAAGTTTGATGGAATCGTTGGTATGTCAAGGAGGATTGTATCAAGATATGGGAACCTTCCATTCTTCCCGAATATACTCTCTCAATCAAAGGATATGGATCCAGTATTTTCTTTCTATTTGAATCGGTAGGTTCTGAACTACATCGTGGTGTTATTACACTTGCAATCAACGGCTCATAATAACTAGATATGTGAGTAGTGTACTGCCATTCATATCTATCTGGTGTGACTAATGTGACTCGATATTTAGTTATTCGGAATTTAGATCCACTTATAAGCAAATAGATAAGATTATCTTTATATAAATATATGAGATGAATCTCCGCTGTGAAATAAATTCGGAATCCAAGGAACAAGTATTAGTTTAAGACCATATTTGAATTAGAATGTGGAGAAATACTTGACAAAGTTCATTTTTGAGGGTGTATATGACTCGCTCCATATGAGCGAGTTAATTACGGACACTCATTGAATTGCCTCAATACAGTAATATATCTCCACACATCCTCCAATCGATTCATAGCTCCAAAGTTGATTCATAACTGAGCGAAAATTATCTCTGTGTGAAATTAGAAGCAATGATACCCTCTCTAGATGTGTTCTCAAGAATCAATGCACACAGCGATTAACAGAATCCGAGAACTTTAAGTGCTCAAATATCTTAGGGCTAAAAATAATATCGAATTCGTTCTTCAGTTTCACTGCAATTGATGACAGTGTTTCTTCCATTTGTCCAGTACGATCATTTTCTATGAAATGTTCGAAACTGTCTCCTCATCTGGTGTTACAGACATTGAATTACCGGAGTATTTGCAACGATTATTTGTCATGAGTATTGTCTTCTAGTGCACACTGCGCTAGGAATGTGCACAATTATGACATTATATTTGGAAAGGACAAGCGCACGAGATTGGAAATCTTACCTAACTTGGCCTTCACTTGCAACTTAAATGCCATTGAAATGTGGAGTGTTAGAGGCAACTATTGAATTTTGTGATTTCATGCAAATATGTGCGTCATGTTTATCATGATTACCATTCACATTAAGTTGGAGAGACGCGAAGTTGAACTCACTTCTAGCCAAGTAAGCTAAGCACAGTCAACGTTTTTTGTATTTTGTAGGGAGAATGGTCATGTTGGTGGAGAGATGGTGATTGGTGGCGTCAATCCTGAATATTTTATTGGAGATTTCGAAAACTTGCCTATCGTTTCTGAAAACAGTTGGTCTGTTATAATCAAAAGGTAGTCGTTTGATGCTTGAATGATTTCATGGGAAGACATATCATTTTTATTTCACGTGGATATTGAAACCATAGAATATATGGACTAGTTATCACAGTTATGTCTTCTAAGCAAAGTATATTTAGTACACGCAACAATTCTTACATTTGTAGTAATAAATGTTATTCATTCATTCATGCAAACATCTATTGGAGGAGAGATGATTTGAAAGCTCCAGATGACAAATAAGTAGACGGTTATTCTGCATGTCTAATGTCTGAGAGGTGGATTATATCTGAGTTATTCTGCTACAAACAGGTAAACTAGTCATTTGACCACCATCACTTCAACACATGAAAACTGATTCCCCTTCTACCAAACTACATCACACATACTGACTATCTATTTTAACATGCCGATAAACACACAGATGCTGGCATAAATACTTAGTGGTTGTCCTTCACTGAGTTATCGGAGAAAATGTCATCTACTTGATTTTATTCCGGTGTCCACCTGAGTGGTGTATCTCGAAATGAATCGCAGTCGAAATGCTGGTGTTTGTCTCACGCAATCTCGGGTAGAAACTTTCATGGTGTGCATACTTTCAGCATATGTTGACGGGTATTCCAATGAAGAAAGTTATTAGAATGATTTGGTGAAGGCTGTTATTGGCTCAGGGTGCAGGAAATTCCGATGAGAGCTGAAAGTGAACCAACACACAGGGAAATCTGTTTTTGTGTGGAGATAGCTGAGCAGGACCAAGTAATCTCATTGCGTTTGATTATTAGGGCGAATGGTTTTACGATTGGATTAATTTACTCTCTTCGTTGAATTGACTGGTTAATGTTTCAATTGTTTCCTTTTTTACCGTGTTCAGCATGAAGATAGGTGGAGTAGACTTCTGCCTTGGAACATGTGTTGGTATTATAGATACTGGAACGTCTTTGATACTGGGACATAGTAGAGTGGTGCGTTCGGTTAATACCCATCTTGATGCCAGATGGAGTGGTGAAGGGGAGTATTCACTCGACTGTAATTACATTCACACCCTTCCTGCAATCAAGTTTGTCTTCCGGGAGAGGACCTATGTACTTGACCCGAAGGATTACGTGCTTAAGGTGAGTACAATCATTCAGTTGAACACTGTAATTACTCTGGGATCAACAATCTGTGAAAACGTCTTCACCAATGTCACTAATTTTTACTCAATAGGCAGTAAAATGTATTGTGAAATCCATGCAACCAGTTTGGATTGATTTTAGTCACTTATCTGTAGAAGTGAACGGCATTTTGTGGGAAATGTGAGCTTCTAATATGATTTGCACGGCGTTATTTCCAGCCAGTCGATTACCTCTGATATCACGAATGGAAGGAACCACCAGATAAATTAAAATTCATTTATGGAGTCACCAGCACCAATTAATTATTATCACAGTCCCCCTAATTCGTTAAATAAATTTCAGATTATCACAGTTCCTCACCACTTTCTTATCTTCCACTTCTCTCTAGAAAATGCAGTCAATCATTCTTCTCAAAAACTCAAATAATTCTCTAAAACTTCATCCGCTTCCTTCATTTTACATAAGTAACTGTCAACTGTAATCAGCATATCCGTGTCGACATCAAAGGAACGTACACTGCCTGTGTAGTGATCAGTTGGAGGTGGCTGTGGAATTAGGCCAATTCGACATTCACTAAGGTTGTTCTCAATTTTCTTTACAGGACTTAAAATTCTGAAACTGAAGGAAATTCGTTGTATTTTTCGATTTTAGGAGGAAAACTGGCTGTATACAGACTGTACATCGCCGTTTGCCAGCAATGATAAATTATCCTCTGGATATTGGGTTCTCGGCAATGTATTCATGAGAAAGTTTTACACTGTATTCGATTTGGGTGAGTCACAGATAAGATTGGCTGATGTTGACGATGACTAAACCTCGTTGTACTGAATTGCGTGAATCACTGAAAATAAACAAATTTTACGAATTAATCTACTACCTTCTTATTCGAACAAGTGATTTTATTTCAAGGTGTTCCACTATCTCGACAAATGTAGTCAGCACAGTTCTGAGTTTAGAGCAGTAGACTTGGGTTTGGAATGACTAAAAGAAAGTAATTCTCAGCTAACATTCAGGTATCATCACCATTGATCTGAACACGAATTAATACAGACTGATGGTGCCAGCATCAGTTGTTCCTGGACTCGAAACTGATATCCACTAACACCGGGTAAATTCATTCTTACGCAACACGTTTCCCATGATTTCAGTGTGAATGACTATTCGGCATATCACAAGTAGTTAATGACATTCAGGAGACATACTTGTTTGTGATGGACCAGCATTGGTTAGTGTGAGGACCGTTCATGATTTATTACGCCTAGCATGGCTTTTCTTCAGGTTGTACATGTAAGCCAGCCATATCAGTTCAGATAAACATGGTTCTGCGGTAATTGATTGGCGTTCAGGATGTCGTTGTTCGAGGAATGTTGTGAGGCATAACTTCCTCATGTGTCCCGATAAAAATGTAAGGATTGAGATTGAGAGAGGATGCTTATAGCCTGCCGAGGATACGACCAATCGGTGGCCGCTAGTTAGTAATGGTAGCACATCACTTGACTGGGATTTCCTGTACTATAATGATGCACCAATAACCCATCCTTCGCTGTCATGTTGAATTTCACTTGTAATAGATGCACATCACTAAGAATTTATTACCAAGTAGAGGACATAACTGTTCCTCAGTTAGATGTCTGTTTAGTGAAACACAAGATACCGTCCAACCAATTTGCAATATATATCCTGTTGATGGACATTTCATAAGCATCACTCATCTTTGTGTTCTTTACACTAAGACAAATCTAACGCTTCTCTGTATTTCATATATTCAGAAAATCTTAAGAACACTATGAACTGCACTGTATGTGCTGTACATATGTGCTACTGAAACCCAATATTTCGCCAGGAACACGAGGAATGAGACATAATAGTGATAATAATAATAATTATGTTGGGAATGTTTCGGGATTGCGCCAGCAGTTATATTCATCTACAGTCTGCACAGATGGAATCATGTCGTATTTCAACCAGAGATATTAACTGACCTGCACGCCTAATGGCCATCATTGTCCGATAGTGCATGCTAGCACTGTCGTCAATGTATTGTGCCCAATATCTAAGGGTGGAGATTCGATTTCTTCAGTAAACCGATATCTGCTACCAGTGAGTTGTGTCAGCTGCGACGAATATTTCTGCATGATCCATCATACCAGATGAGACTGCTGAATAACCTTTGACTGAAAATGATCATGTCGAAATGTGTCAACTCATATTTGAGACGATATCAGGTTTATTTTGGTTTACTAACGAGAAATATGGGACTAAACCTGAAGACTAATAATCCAAGCATCTAGGGGGTTCTGTGTCCACTCAAAGCTATATAGCATGGTTGTTTGTAGGTGATGCTGATTCAGTCGTGAGTGTTATAAACACGCACTGCATCAGCACCTGTCACTATATCTCGACTGATGCATCGTTTGGAGCTAACAACCTAATAACAACACATCTACCGCGGGTAGTATAAATCCCACTTCTAGGCACTATCGAATCCCTAAGTAATTGTATGGGACAGTGACAGCTGTGAATCAAGGAGAGACGTGCCCAGCTTCCGTATATATCATCGACTTTCTTCCATTTCTCTCTTCTTAGCTGTCGCCTCATTTTCTTCAACTTTCATTCACAAAACGACATTTCATTCTCTTTCTACGCATCTCTTGAACACATCCGTTTGTCGGAAGTAATTAGTCAACATAACACACAACCATAAATCGGGGCCTGGGTGATCTCGGTTTTCATGCCCCTCGTGATAATCCGACATCTCCACAACACCTGCGAATATTCATATGG